ACCGTATCACGAGACAGTCTTGGTTTTCATTGCATTGGAACCGGGACTTTGCGCGTCACTTGTCGTCAGGTTTAACACGGGAAGGCAGGCCTTCTAATTCCGCAGAAAAGGAATTAACACTTCCTACAAATTCAGTTCTCTTTCCGCATACAAATAGACCATCTGGATTCACCGGTAAAGTTTGAGCAGTTTCCGTTTATGTTCTATGAAGGAGTGGAACCAAAGGAACTCTTTCAGTCTTGCTTTTCATTGCAGCGTTTGATACCATAGTGCCTACCTATATGCAGAGCAATAATCGCCCCACTGATTTTCTCCCATTTTACTGGCATACTAATGCAGGTGGACACGAGCAGTCGATTAGTGGCTCATCTTTCCAAGCAGTTTTTGCAACAGGCAGGTCTTCACCCACAGATTTTACCCAACTTGCTGTCGTTTAGCTAGCTTCAAGACAACTTTTGGTCAAACTACCTTAACAGATCGCTTAAAACCAGGTGAGACATCTCCCATTTAAATCTTCTTATGTAAAAGTCGGCACATGGTATTCCTTTAATTACAAATGTAACTTATTTTAGATACACAGGCAGCTGAAATTGATCATCAATATTGATTCTGATCAAGCTATCACCTGTTAAGTCAGGAGTTTTTCAACATGACCAACGGTACACTTTAACTTCCACTTCAAATTAATTCTTCGATGATGAATGGTTATTGAATTGTGGCGTTTGGTTCTTAACCAACGAGAAAACCAGAGACATTTCGTACTTATTAGCACCTAACACATTTTGTGACTAATTCGACAGATAGTACGCGACAGAGCTGCGGTAAATTAGCACCAACTGACTCAGATACACGAGAAGCCGAAATGACAACCCAATAAAGTGAATTTTCATTCTTACAATGTTTGCTTCTACTTCTAACGATTGGAAAAGCAATCTAGGGTTCAAAATATCCCATAGTCATGTTCAATTTGCTGCTCACTTGGATTAATTTTTGTAGGATTGAGAATTTTTTAACAGAAACATTTATTTTTGTTTTCCGAAACTTCGGCAAAGTAAATTCTCAAGCGTGAGATCGACGGTCCCAGTTAATATCACTGCTTTCTCTATTATTTCTTATTATTCAATACACGATTGCAATGCAGTGACATCAACTACCTTCTCTCTTCATTTACCACGCCTCATGGTTCTACCGTAACAAAGCTAATTCTTTGATTTCGCTTTTCGCACGCTTCTAATCATCGCTTTGAGCTTCGCAGTTTAATCCACAAAACAAACATCGTTGCGTTTCGTGACGTTTCTCCTTCTGCTTTCCGGCGAACGCTCGTTTGTGCTTTAGTCGTATTACCGGGCTTCAGTTAGAGTTGCACCTACAGTGTACATTTCTCCAAGAAAAAGGAGACGGCCAATCAAAGGGTTGTCATGTGACGTAAACATTACACAGCGAGGATAGCGTTTGAACAAAACCTTCAGCATGATAAGTTTCTAACCTCAAACGCTTGATCATCGCCACTGAATCTTTGTACTAAGCTATTAATCACGTCTGAGAACCTCAAAGTTCACATAAAGGGTCATTAGTTTCAGCCGATCATAAAGTATTGCTATCGGATACGAATCAACTGAAACCAGCTCATCCGCATGAGACTGCTTTGCACGAGTTCTAAATAGCACTTTGGATCATTTCAAACCACCTGACGATGAAATTAAATTCAAAATACTCCCATCGTTGTAACAGCTACAACACAGTGGTGGTGGAGGGGAGAATGATCCACGCTTATGACATTTACATAGGTCTGCAAACAGATGATGAAGGGCAAAAAAGAAAGACAGTATGGTTCAATTCACATATATTTACACATGCACACTTCAGATAGCAAAACTCATCGGAACGAGGTGAACATACGGCCATCGGGAAACTCGAACGGACTGAGGACATCGAGACCACGTGGTTCAATGGGACTGTGCAGGCGAATTGCTCGCAAATGAGTATCTCTCCCATTCTGGTGGTTGGCTAAAACAGCCAATTGAAGCATGAACGTGCGTACCGGGGACCCGTCGAGCCAGACAAGTGGTAGCACAGACCAACCAGTGGGCTCGTGCAATTCAATTTCCACTAGTTCAATAAGGTCGTGAATGGTATTGCCGACGCGCACGGCCAGTCTGGATTTGGAACACAGGCACAGGATGGAAAAGAATCATAAAGAGTCACAAAACAGCAACGAGAGACGAAAATTGTGGCACGCTACCACAAAACTGGAAAGCCTATGATGCCATCATAAATGATGGGAAATCAAATTCCGGTGAAGACCCTGTTTTCGGTGATCGTTGTAGTGCTGGATATACCACATTTTAAACGAAAAAAGTGACGAAAATAATGCCACTGAAGGAACACACAACACATGTTCCAGAGCGTTCTCACATTAAAGAGCTCTTAAGCTAAAAGACGATATGGTGGAAACGGTTTGAGATGATCAACCGCCAATTTGCGATTTTATGTACAAAATGGCGGAAGAAAATATAAATGAAATGAATAGATGAGGTTAGACTAGACATATCAAAAGGGGATAGACTTAGTCGCTAACAGGTCACATTGATTAGTTGGGAGAGGAATGCGGGGCGATTGGACACCTGGTGGCGAGAAACACGTCACATCACTCATCCTACACTCCTCTCCGATTTTGGTAACAAGTATTTACGTCCGGAGTGTAGCTAACCGAATAATAAACCTGGATGCTGACGGTCAAGGTTAAATTCCCCTAATAAGATTGAAAAAATGCGATGTGTCACACTGTTTATAGACAACGAGAAACAGTTTAGTCAAACGGGTGGTGTTTCTTCCAACTGGGTGGCCCCGGGATAGATTGATCCACACTGCTGATGCCCAAACAAAGTCGAAATACCTGTACACTGCTTCCCAGATTTTTCGATCATGTTTGCTTTGCCCTGTATACGATTACAGTCACCAAACAAATCGAACTATATCACTCACTCTTACAATCAAATGATCAAAACGCGATTCTTCATGCTACGGCAGCGCAGTGTAGATGTGACTAGTCCACAGGGAACATAGGTCCGAGACGAACAACCGTTGCCAGCGATTCGTGGTCTTCTCTGTACGGAGCATACTTAATTCAAAGGCCATCTGGGACAAGAACAGCGAGTTGGAGGAGCCCTGGCTAGGTATGCGAGATTCTAGTGCACAGGAGGAATCCAATTTGGTTGGTGACGGTCAACCTAGCATCTGGACAGTAGATGGTGCACTACATGATAATCATTTATTTTATTGCTGCTCAAAGTGTACAAAAGACGCGAGTGTAGGAGAGCTGGTGCTGCACCTATTTCTCGTAAATTAGGAAAAGATAAATCAGAAACGCAAACCGTACTTTTCCATTTGTGAAATTCATTAGAAACACAAACGTTCATGTTGAAGATTAAGTCGTCGTGCCGATTATTTCTCTTATGACAAGAGGTTGGGTATCCCTTTTTATGTGTAGTTCGCTGTTAATGCGAACGCTCAGTGATGTACTAACGAGAGAAAACTAGTTGAATCTTCGTCCACAGCGAATCCATCACGATGGGCCTGCACATTGACTTGCTGTGCCTTCCGTGCCTCCATGACCCTGTGAGCTATACAGGATGGCTCCTCACAGACGCACATCCAATCGTACCTGAAAGGTCAACGGGTAGAGACCAGACAAAGCTCAGTCTCACGAAGCCAGCTGCTTGGGCAAATCCTGGCTTCTTTCTTCTATCTACACGCCCCTAGAGAGGCCACTCCAGCAAATAAACGCGGTGATGGGCAGTTTATCAGTAAAATACCCCGCTAGATGGACGTAGGAGTGGGGTACCCGCAGCTTCCTCTCGACGGTGGGAGAAATCTTCGCACTTTATTGGACAGCTACCGCCCGCCCAAGCTGGGCAGCCCCCAGCCAATAAGGTGCTATGCTGTCCACGTTTCGCTTATCTCATGGATTGCATGAGACTAAGGGCCAATTTCGAATAGTGGACAGATAATCAACGCACCAGCGAACAAAACACTGAACCGAAATTCAAAGGCCTTGCGTGACAAGTCTCCACATGTGCTTCGTTCCCGCTCCCGTGTTAGATCCACGTCCAACTGCCTTTTGGATCAGACTTTTGAGTCGAAGTCTCCGGTTAGGGTTCCGAAAGAAAAACCCATAAATTTCCACCGTCTTGCGGGTCAGAGTTTTGAGTCAAAGGCTCCGGTAAGGCTTTCCAGAGAAAAAACCCTTCATCGTTGTGGTCTGCCGCGAAGTTTGTCGTACCCTAAAGTCTTAGGCATCCATTTAGAAAAACCTCTTTCCCATCTGTCTGGATGTTCCGAATCATCCCAGACGCCTCTTGTTTAGGAGACACATTAGATATCACTCAGCGTTTCATCAACAAGGCCAAGGAATCAAAAGTTATGAGATTTTTGAAGCCAGCGACAAAACCGACGCACGAAAGTGCATGGTTAATAGCTGTCCAAACTGAAACTACCGCGAATAAACAAATGGGACGCGCAAGATGGCAACAGTATAGATCAGAGGGAGAATCCGTAGTTTGAGTTGGGCTCATACAACCACTAACGCGTGATGATTTTTATTGCTGTCTTTTGGCTACAAATTTAATTGACCCAGTATGAACAATGAAATGGAAGAGCCGAAACACTGAGAGGAATATCATGATAGAAATACAGAAAGCAAACGAGAACTGCTCTAGTTCGAAAGTGATTTGATTCACGAGCGGCGCTGCTTAGAACATTCACGATTGATTGAGTCAAAAGCGGTGTGGAAATCAATGAAGCGGGTTACCTTGGAAAAAGCCTTGCGAGAGGGTTGAAACGCCGTCAACCGAAAGTTGCTGTTTTTATTTTCTCTTGTTGTGGCTGATCCAAACATTCCATACGGTTCTAATACTATCAGCACGATGCACAATTTCTTCAAAGACATCGGTTCCAAATTTGGGTCTGATACCATGAAGCGGGCCATCGTAGATTGTTTGGACTTTATGCGATGTTCAAGCATTTGACATAAAGTGAACACGGGATCATGAGAAACAACACCTCAGTTAGGTCGAGTACGACGATCCCTAGAGGTTTATAGGCCTAGAGTAGCAGTACGAAGAAAATACAAAGTCCCAGTCAATCAGACTGCAGTTCGCGCAAATCATATTGCAGCTGTTCTCACAAATGGGTAGCAGAACAGATTTNTCCCAAATTAATGAGAAATACGAGGGCTGAGCAAAAGGTTTTCGGATACGCAGTACACGTGCGAGGTGCAGAGGACCGGGCAAGGAAAACGTGAATTGTAATCTTTTGTAAATATTGTTCAGTGGTTGCAACTCAAAGAACCGAACACCAACTGCCGAGCACAGCTTGCATGCCATAAGGGTCGCTATACTCGAATTGTAATGATGGTACTCGGTCGACATCACTGAGGGGTGACGATTTTCTACGACTATAATTGTGGTCTAAAGTAGCAGCAAAGTTTTGACAATTTGCGAGCTGTCTTTGGTGGTGACGCGAATTCAAAAAGCATTGCGTTTGAGTGGTTTGCGAAATTCAAACGTGACACGCGGTTCTTGGATGATGTGATACGCTGTGATCGACCTGTGGAGGCCACCAGAGCGGGCATTGCTGCTGTGCAAGCAATGATGGAGGAAGATGCACTGGTGACAGTGGCACAGCTGGTGAAAGCTATCGAGATCAATCCGCACCATACTACATGAGAAGCTCGGTCTCAGAAAGGTTGGCGTACGCTGGGTACCCCATCAGCTCGGTGATAAACAGAAAGCAGTTTGGGTGAATTGGTGCTACACCATGCTTGTCAGGTTCGATGGTGGACGTTCCAATGCAGTTCGGGAGATCCTCAGTGGCGATGAGACCTGGGTGTACAGTTTCGACCGAAATACCAAGCAACAATCAGCTCAGTGGACACTGGTTGATGGGCGCCCTGTCAGAAATTCCGAGACAAGCGCAATGTGGCAAAGCAGATGGTGGCTGTGTTCATAGCCGAAAACGGTCAAGCGCATACTCTATCATTCGTACAGCAAAGCAAAGTCACCGGAGATTGGTACGCCGCCCACTGTCTGCCGAAAGTGCTGGAAGCTGTTGTCAGAGATCGTTTAAGGACTCAAGCACGAGGAACCTTGATGCACTATGACAGCGCACCTGCACACACGTCCCATGTCGTTGGCGATTTTCTGACTAAAGAACGCATCCAGGAGGTTGATCACCCACCCTACAGTCCAGACATGACTCCGTGTGACCTTTTGTGCTCTCAAATATCAAGCGCATGATGCATAGGATTGGATGTGAGTCACCAACAGCTGCAGTGGAGGCCGTCATTAAACTTATAGAAGGGTTACCCGCTTCGGCATGGTCGAGCTGTTCCACCAAATAGGTAGACCGCATGAACGCTAGAGGAAAATACTTCGAGTAAATGTAATGCTTATTGTTGTGTAATAAATAAAACTTTTCATGCATCCGAAAACGTTTTACTCAGCCCTCGTATCTTGCTTTCATACAAAGAGCGGTATGGTGCGTGGAGCCTGCCATTCAATGAAGGCAGGCAATTCTCGGAGACCTCTGAAGGGATACCGTCCACCTCGATTGCTTCACTTGGTTGACTGCCCTCGTCAGTCCTGTTATACTTCCCATCTGACTTCGGGTGGATCTCGCTGAGCAGTGAATGGCAGATTTTCCATGTTGTTAAACAGTCGATCAGAAAGCTTCTCGAAATTCCCTGTTTATCACAATGTTTTCTTACTTTTTTCTGGGATCCATTAGCTTGCTGCATCACGTAGAAAGGAGTCGGACTTGTGACGGTCATTTGAATTACCGCGGATAAGTAGGTAAAGTTTGCCGGAGTTACCTGTTCTTGATGCTATCCCGATTTTCTCAGCCACTCCTATCCAGTACCACTTAAGATAGACTCTAATGGAGTATGCCGCCGTTTTTGGAGGTCTACGGCTACCAGTGCCTACCACCTAGTGGTTTTTCTTGCTTTGATCGACAACTCGATACTGTTTTCGGAGATGCACTCTTTCAGGCGTCTGGCACTTCCTCCGGGCTCGCTTCGAGCTGCTTAGCCGACCGCCATCTGGAACTGCTTCTACTGTTTTTCTGTCGCAGTTTTATCTCTGTGTATGCTACACACAGTGGCCGTGATGACATTTCCAAGAGCAGAAGCAGATTCAGTTTTTTTTCAGTGTGAGCAACCAATTAACCACGCATATTCGTGTGCCGGTATTGGTTGCTGTTTTTGGCTGCCCATTTCCATGAAGAATAGGAGAAGAAAGGAAACTTGAAAGTGGAGTCGGAAAGAAACTGGAGAAGGGCGGTAGTGGTGGGAGTCAAACACAAGTCCCATGGATGATAAGTTATTGACCTGAGCAGTTTGACCACTGATTGGGCCGTAAATGTTTTGGTTTTCTATGTTCTCACCTTCTGACCGACTTCGGAGGATGATCGGTCAATGCGAATGAGGATCTCTTGGAGATTATCTGCATTCCCACCAAAGACGGTACTTTTGTTAGCAAATTATAAATAGGTGATCCAGAACTCCTCAGAAATGTGAACTCATCAATATGTTTCAATGGCGTGATGTATTATGCACTCGGCAGCACTGCATTGGGCTTACAAAGAACTCACTCTCAATACTAGGTCTAACTTGACCCAATTACTATCCCGGACTGTTAAGATGTTGGATGGCTGCTGTGGTAAAGTTTCGGTTTCAGTTTGTACAACCATTAACCATGTACTTTCGTGCGCCGGTTTTGGTTGCTGTCCTTTGTCTGCCCAATGGGATGAGTATTAGGAGAAAGACAGGAAAGGTTGAAAGTGGGGATCAAAGAGAAAATTTAGAAGTGTAGTGGACTAATGCTGAAGAGAAATTTAAAAGATGCACGAACGCCACTGTTTACGACACAGTCATATCACTCAGTGTGTCTAACCCTCGGTTACGATCATACCGAGGTCCTCAGCCATAGAGCCCAACTTTACCTATGTGGTCCAGTACCCTGGTGAGGGATTTCATACAATCGGGCCAGGTCTTAGGTTGACCACCCTTGGCTTTTTTCCACCCACTACCTGCCTCGGCGAACATCGATCACCGTGGCAACCTATTTGGTGACATGCCTAACACATGCCCCAAC